TTGTCACAAAGTCAAGTTTAGTGGAGCGACCATACTCATTCCTTAAGACAGTACTAGCATGGAGCTTCCCCTTTGATGTGCTAGCAATTGCAATTGGTGTTTTGCTTGCAGTGGATCTAAAGTGCATTACTATATATTCAAAAATGTGTGTAACTACAAGTACCTCTTTGCAGCACACGGTTTGAGCTTCTTAAAGTCTCCTATTAATTTACAATAATGACTAAAATTTATAAAACGTGATCATATTTACATGTACATGTACATATACATGTGCAAGTACAAAGGGCGCTTAAATAGTCTTTTATGTCACTATTTAAACACACATATATGTATCACCAATTACTGTATGTACCTTTAGATGTGAAGGAATGTGAAATTTCTTCACCAACAAGTGAGACTCTTGTGTCTCCTGCTGTACATAATAGGTTAAAGTATGACAAAAATTACTTACCTTCTTCACATTTAAGACCTGAACTTGCTAAAGTTGAGCAATAGGTAAGGTAAACATGTACATTTACACAAGCTTACAATCTGTCTGAAGTCCTTGTGACTCTTTTCCTGATTACAAATGGTTAGACTACATGAACACTGCATTTGGTTCTTTACCTTTGTCTTCTGAGACATCAATATCATCTATTACAAAAATACTCTAAATACAAGTATACCTCACACAAAAATTTACCAATTGTCAGTGGAGAGTCAATGATTTCTTCTGCAGAGCAATACATGAATGCATGTTATTGTATTCATAGAAGCTTACCATTGCTTTCTGAATCTTTGACGTGGACTACATATGTACAATAAACTACATGTACACAATGTTTACAAGTTTACCTTCATTGTCGAGTGAGAATCTCGTGTCTCCTGCTGTACATTATGAGTTCAGGTATGACGAAAATTACTTACCTTCTTCACATTTAAGACCTGAACCTGCTAAATTAGAGCAATAGGTAAGGTAAACATGTACATTTACACAAGCTTACAATCTGTCTGAAGTCCTTGTGACTCTTTTCCTGATTACAAATGGTTAGACTACATGAACACTGCATTTGGTTCTTTACCTTTGTCTTCTGCGACATCAATGTCATCTATTACAAAAATACTCTAAGTACATGTATACCACATGAAAATTTACCAATCGTCTGTGGAGAGTCAATGATTTCTTCTGAAGAGCAATACATGAATGCATGTTATTGTATTCATAGAAGCTTACCATTGCTTTCTGAATCTTTGACGTGGACTACATATGTACAATAAACTGCATGTGCACATTGTTTACAAGTTTACCTTCATTGTCGAGTGAGAATCTCGTGTCTCCTGCTGTACATTATGAGTTCAAGTATGACGAAAATTACTTACCTTCTTCACATTTAAGACCTGAACCTGCTAAAGTTGAGCAGTAGGTAAGGTAAACATGTACATTTACAATAAGCTTACAATCTGTCTGAAGTCCTTGTGTCTCTTTTCCTTATTACAAATTGTTAGACTACATGTACACTGCAATTGGTTCCTTACCTTTGTCTTCTGAGACATCAATATCATCTATTACAAAAATACTCTAAGTACATGTATACCACAAACAAAAATTTACCAATCATCAGTGGAGAGTCAATGATTTCTTCTGAAGAGCAATACATGAATGCATGTTATTGTATTCATAGAAGCTTACCATTGCTTTCTGAATCTTTGACGTGGACTACATATGTACAATAAACTACATGTACACATTGTTTACAAGTTTACCTTCATTGTCGAGTGAGACTCTCGTGTCTCCTGCTGTACTTTATGAGTTCAGGTATGACAAAAATTACTTACCTTCTTCACATTTAAGACCTGAACCTGCTAAAGTAGAGCAATAGGTAAGGTAAACATGTACATTTACACAAGCTTACAATCTGTCTGGAGTCCTTGTGACTCTTTTCCTGATTACAAATGGTTAGACTACATGTACACTGCAATTGGTTCCTTACCTTTGTCTTCTGAGACATCAACATCATCTATTACAAAAATACTTTAAGTTCATGTATACCACTCATGAAAATTTACCAATCGTCAGTGGAGAGTCAATGATTTCTTCTGAAGAGCAATACATGAATGCATGTTATTGTATTCATAGAAGCTTACCATTGCTTTCTGAATCTTTGACGTGGACTACATATGTACAATAAACTATATCTACACATTGTTTACAAGTTTACCTTCAATGTCGAGTGAGACTCTCGTGTCTCCTGCTGTACATTATGAGTTCAAGTATGACGAAAATTACTTACCTTCTTCACATTTAAGACCCGAACCTGCTAAAGTAGAGCAATAGGTAATGTAAACATGTACATTTACACAAGCTTACAATCTGTCTGGAGTCCTTGTGACTCTTTTCCTGATTACAAATGGTTAGACAACATGTGCACTGCATTTGGTTCCTTACCTTTGTCTTCTGAGACATCAACATCATCTATTACAAAAATACTCTAAATACAAGTATACCTCACACGAAAATTTACCAATTGTCAGTGGAAAGTCAATAATTTCTTCTGCAGAGCAATACATGAATGCATGTTATTGTATTCATAGAAGCTTACCATTGCTTTCTGAATCTTTGACGTGGACTACATATGTACAATAAACTACATGTACACATTGTTTACAAGTTTACCTTCATTGTCAAGTGAGACTCTTGTGTCTCCTGCTGTACTTTATGAGTTCAAGTATGATGAAAATTACTTACCTTTTTCACATTTAAGACCTGAACCTGCTATAGTGGAGCAATAGGTAAAGTAAACATGTACATTTACACAAGCTTACAATCTGTCTGAAGTCCTTGAGACCCTTTTCCTGATTACAAATGGGTTAGACTACATGAACACTGCATTTTGTTCATTACCTTTGTCTTTACAGGCATCAATTTTATCTGTAACAAATATACTGTAGGTACATGTATACCACACATGAAAATTTACCAATCGTCAGTGGAGAGTCAATGCTTCCTTCTGCAGAGCAGTGAATGAAGTCATTGAATTGTATTCATTGAAGCTTACCATTAGTGGCTGTACCACAAAAATTACCTTTAGATAATGCAGCTTTCTTGATACTTCAGTTTAAAAAGATAATCTTTACTGATTAACAAAAATTAAATAAATTACCTCTTTGCTTTGCTTCTCCTCACAAGCATAACCCTCTCCAAACGGCTCAGTTTTCTGTGCTTCTTAACATGCTTCTCTATGTCTAGCACTAGAACTTGACAATAGTCACAAAGAGTTTCCTAAGAGATATTAGTCTTTTAAGATATAAAGACACTATAAAAGTACCATTAGAAAAGCAGCAATCAATAATTCCAATTCAAATTTGTTTATTTTTGTTGCTATGGAGATTACCACGTTTTTAATCAATTGTGTGGGCGTTAATTAATGACTGGGCGTGGTCTCGAGGGAAATCTAAATAGAAGGACATTTTCACCCTTTTCTCAGTTTGTCTTTAAAGAACAAGCTTAAGACATATGTGATAAGCAGAATAGGATCAATAAAAGAAGTTCACAGAGTGAAATTGCTGTGTTGAAACGTTTTTAAGCATTTAAAAAAATTCTACTCTAAAGCATTGTCATATATGCTGATTACACTTAAGAATAACAAAATAACAGCAACAGGAAAATTGCAATAAATGAAATACAAGTTGTAGCTATGTTTTATTAATGTAACTAAACACACATGACAGAAAGAACTACATTTTTGATGTTGCCTAAGTAAAGAAAAAAGAACAAGAAGGGAGCGTGGTCTAAAAGTAGTAATACTAGGGTATTTTTATTGCATATTTACTCGACTACTAAAATAATAAAAGCTCCCATTAATTGCTCGCTTGGCTAGCAAGTCTAAGGACAGTGGCTAAGGCAATGGGTCTATCCTCTGAGTACAGCCATGTGTATATGTATTAGCACATAAGCAGTCACGATGAGCTCATATAATATCACATTCACTTTGTAGCACAGATAAGCATTGGTATTGATGACATTAATGTGTACATGTAGTTTTAAGTCTTAGCTAGCAAGCCTGAAGTCAATGGCTATGGCAATATGTCTATCCTCTGTGTGCAGCCATGTGTATATGAATTAGCACATAAGCAATAAGAACAAGCTCATATAATATCAGATTCACTTTGTAGCATAGATAACAATTGGTATTGATGACATTAATGTGTACATGTATTTTTAAGTCTTAGCTAGCAAACCAGAGGTCACTGGCTAAGGCAATGTGTCAATCCTCTGTGTACAGCCATCTGTATATGTATTAGCACATAAGTAGTCAGGATGAGCTCATAAAACATCAGATTCACTTTGTAGCATAGATAAACATTGGTATTAATGACATTAATGTGTACATGTAGTTTCAAGTCTTAGCTAGCAAGCCTGAGGTCACTGGCAAAGGCAATGAGGCTATCCTCTGTGTAAAGCCATGTCTTTATGTATTACCACATAAGCAGTCACGATGAGCTCATATAATATCAGATTCAATTTGTAGCATAGACAACCATTGGTATTGATGACTTTAATGTGTACATGTAGTTTTAAGTCTTAGCTAGCAAGCCTGAGGTCACTGGCAAGGGCAATGGGTCTACCCTCTGTGTACGGCCGTGTGTATATGTATTAGCAAATAAGTAGTCATGACGAGCTCATATCACATCAGATTCACTTTGTAGCATAGATAACCTTTAATATCGATGA